TGTTGCATAGTGTGCCTTTAACCAGAAAAGCCTAAAGCCAAAATGTATTGTAGAACTTACATACATTTTAGGAGGTTGCAGTTAATTTGAAAGAACCATAAAAAATACCTGAGAACAGATTATATACAGCACTAAAACTGATCTGATTAAAATATGGATGCTTAGAGGAAATGAGGGCTTAAGCAATTGAGCATCCAAAGCAGCTGGTGAACCTCCCCTGTGGTTAGTAACATGTTTACTGATGCAGGCCTCGCATGGACACCTCAACCTACTTCTCACAGCTGCAGAGGCCGCAGCACTTCCCCAGGTCAGTCAGGTTTTTCTCAGCCTCCTTCATGTCAGAGTTGATCTGATCCAAGCCTTCCTCTATTCGCTCCAATTGCTCTAAGGAGGAAGACGAGGAGGAGGACAGGAGCAGGACGATGAAGCCAAAAACACAAAAACAGACAAACCCAAGCAGGTTCAAAAAAAGCTACAACTCTTAAACAAAACAAAAATAAAATAAAACATTAGGTAGCAACTTAAAAGAACTCAAACACTAAGAACTCATAAAGACGACCCAGTTTGAACTAAAAGGAAAATGTGGCACTAGTGTCCAGTTCCATCAGGTTTCATCTTTGAAATTCTCATTAAAATGCAATCCTCTGCATAGAAGAAGTTTCAACAAGACAGAAATGAATGTTATTTAGATGCTGTATTAATATCTGATGGAAGTGGGCACAGGGGAGAGTCCACTGGCTGCTAGCTGAGCAGCTGAGAGGGTCGTACTTCCTGAGCGGCCATATGCACAAGCCGCAGCACTGAGCCATGTCTGTCAGGTTCTTCTCTGCCTCCCTCATGTCCCTGTTGATGGAGTCCATGCCTTCCTCAATCCTCTCCAGCTGCTCTGTTAGCAACAGGAAGTTCAAGGTGGAGGTTATGGAGGTCAACCAACAGCCCGAATGGACACATCACTGATCACACTGGTCCACTGTCCGTCTGTCCATCCATCCATCCATCCATCCATCCATCCATCCATCCATCCATCCATCCATCCATCCATCCATCCATCCA